TGTTTCTAAGAAAGATTCTTTTAGAATTATCATGGCATTAATAGCTCATTATGATCTTGAGTTGTATCAAATGGATGATAAAACTGCTTTTCGAATGGAAATTTAGAGGAGGATGTTTATATGAATCAACCAAGTGGGGTTTATTGAAGAAGGAAAGGAACATATGGTGTGTAAACTTAAGAAATCAATATATGGACTTAAACAAGCTTCTCGACAATGGTATCTTAAGTTCAATGATACTATTTTGTCCTTTGGATTTAAGGAAAACACTGTTGATCGGTGCATATATCTGAAGGTCAGTGGGAGTAAGTTTATATTTCTGATTCTGTATGTTGATGATATCTTGCTTGCGACTAATTATCTTGGTCTATTAAGTGAGACTAAGAAGTTTCTCTCTAACAACTTTGAAATGAAAGATATGGGTGAGACATACTATGTGATAGGAATAGAAATATTCCGTGATAGATCACAAGGAATGTTAGGTTTGTCTCAGAAAGCATATATTAATAAAGTTTTAGAGAGATTCAGAATGGAGAATTGTTTTGCATTTCCCGTTCCAATACAGAAAGGAGACAAATTTAGTCTCATGCAATGTCCAAAGAATGAATTGGAACGGAAACAAATGAAAAATATCCCTTATGCATCTATTGTTGGGAGTTTGATGTATGCTCAAACATGTACGAGGCCAGGTATTAGCTTTGCAGTTGGTATGCTGGGTAGATACCAGAGTAATCCTGGATTGGATCATTGGAAGGCTGCAAAGAAAGTCTTAAGATACTTACAAGGAACAAATAATGACATGCTTACTTATAGGAAAGTTGATCACCTTGAGGTGATTGAATATACAGATTCAGATTTTGCTGGTTGTATGGATACACGAAAGTCTACATTTGGTTATGTGTATCTTTTAGGCGGAGGAGCGATTTCATGGAAAAGTGCGAAGCAGTCTGTCATTGCTGCATCCACCATGGAAGTTGAATTTGTGGCATGCTTTGAGGCCACAGTTCAAGCTAATTGGTTGCGGAATTTTATTTCAGGACTTGGAGTAGTCGACAGCATTGCCAAGCCGCTGAAAATTTATTGTGACAATTCCGCAGCAGTCTTCTTTTCTAAGAACGACAAGTATTCCAAAGGTGCTAAGCATATGGAATTGAAATACTTTGCCGTTAAAGAAGAAGTTTAGAAACGAAGAGTGTCAATAGAACATACTAGCACTGATCTTATGATTGTTGATCCTTTAACAAAGGGATTATCGCCCAAATTATTTGCTGGCCATATAATGAATGTGGGCATTATGTTCACTAGTGAATGTTGAATGTTAATGTTATTATTAATGCTTATGTGACACTCTGAGATCTTTAATGTATAAGTTTCTGAAATTTGTGTTTTTTTCTTTATTTATATGCATGCAAATTATGATGAGGAAAACAAATTATGTTATTATTATTAAAATGATATTATGTTTGAACCCATTATGAACTTCTCATTATAAAGTCATATTAAGGAGAAAGAGATAATATAGTGGTACATGGAAGGGAGCCTGTCGATTGAATGACATGTAACCGCCATGACTCTTGTTATAGTTTGTATCTTTAATTATGAATGATGATAGAACCAATTTATGTAAGGTCCTTTAATGCGCATTATGACTTAAGTATTAAATCACAGAATCGTATGACATCACATGAGTCAAGTGGGAGAATGTTAGAATTAATTTAATTAATTCATTCCATTATGTGACTCATGTGAAATATAATAATGGGCCCAAATGTGATTTAATAAAATATGAGGACCTATTGGTTATTATGTGAAGTCAGAATAAAATAAAGATAAAATAAAATATTAACTTACGGTAACCAACTTGATGGACGTTGGTTAATAAAAGGGATTAGGGTTCTGTCTCTGGCCATAAGGTTTTTTCACGGTAAACCATCAAGAAAGCGAAGTGTGAGAAGAGAAAGAAAGGCAAAGAGATAGATTGGGAAAAGGAGATAGGAGAACGAAAAGATCAAAGAAAAAAATTCTCATGGATCAAGGTTAGTCTTCTTACTATGATTCATGTATTGATGTATGTAAAATTGTGAAAATCAATAATCTAAAGATCCTGTAGAGTAGTTTTCTATAATGAATTAAGAACGTAGGAAAACTACATAGTGTTTTACATACAATACTTTGTTATTGAGTTACATGGTGTTGTAATATTATTGTTTTCAAATTATCAAACTATCTTGTCATATTTATAATAGATTGACCTTATAAACTTAATTTTTTGTCATCTTTATTTAATATTTTTTTTCAAAAACATCTCTTCAATAATAAAATATTATTTCAAAATAAATATTTAGAATGTCAATTAAATAAATGAGTAAGTAAATAAAACTATTTTATTTTTATATTAGTTTACTCAACTTGAGTACGTTCAATATTTCGCTAACAAATTATTAAAAAATTTCACTATAATCATATAATTACAATAAAGTATTACTCTTTATCACTTCAAACTTATAACGGGGACATACAAGATTATGTTTGACAATACTTTAACCCTTCCCAAGTTAAAATAGCAAACGTATAAGAACTCTCTAGACACAACAAAATTACAAGATCATTCCTAACCAAAAAAAAAATACACAAGATTATTATTAAACTATTTCAAAATTTCTTTACATTTCAAATTTAAGTTTAGTAAAAATTACAAGTATTCAGAAAAGATATAATAATTTTGTGTATAAAAAAATTTCACATAAAAAACAATTTACAAATAAAAATTATCTCTAAGATAGTAAAATAAAATAATAAATTTATATAAGAATAAATATATAAATGATGATATTATATAACAAATTTAATAGTCTTTCAAGATTATTTTTATAACTTATTTATAAAATCAAATAATATGATAAATGGTTCAGATTTATCGAAATTTGGATCTACGAATTCAATTAACAAAAACTTATTATTAACTGAATTAATTGTTTTAACTAATATATTTTTTAAATTATGTTGTATTTGAATAAGGGATCATTTTAACATTTCTTCTTTCACCCAACATTACTCGTATACAACAAACTTACAGTCCTTTTTATCGCAATATCAAGAATTTAATAAGAATATATAAAAATATATAATAATGAAAAAACTGACATATTAAATAATGTGTTTTATTTTACAATGATTTATTAATTACATGTGGCAGTTGGTGATGATGTGTCCCTTATTTACCTCGTAAGCAACAATAATCATAGAGTAGAGGAAAAGATGCTAACACAATTTTATTTTTTTACTAATTTCTATATTTTATTAATGACAAAAAGCATAGTTGAGAGGGGGCAATTATCAAAATTAAAATTTAATATTTTTTATTCAAAACTAATGACAAATTTTCTTTTAAAAACAATTTTTATTTTTTTCTCAATTTTTCCTATTTTATTTGAAAATAATTTTCATCACATTTATAGTTAATAAAAGTAATCCATTTATTAGGAGATTAAAATTATTTTAACAAAATTGTTTTAGTAAATAATATATTTTTTGTTGATCTTAACCAGCATAGAAAAACATTGATTATAATTATTTTGGAAAATAAATACTATTAAATATATAAATATAGTAATTGTATGTTTTAAAATGTTAATTAAAACTCAATAAAAGAATACTTAAACAAAAAATAAATCATATTATAAATATTTCTCTTAGAAAGACTACAATGTTTATTATTAATATCATATAACTTTAATAGACTTTATGAACTTATAAGAAAAACTGGAGCAGAGATAGGTGATAGGAATTCATATATCAGTTATGTGTATGTCTTAAAACATAAACAGTTAATCTCTTCTATATATAGAAAGTTGGTAAGGTAAAAATTAATAAATAGTATTTACTTCCAATATAGAAAAGAATGATAAAATTATCTGGATGAAAAATGTAATTATTTATAACTTAGAAACAACCATAGCAGATAATGGAGGAAAAAATAGCTGATCCTCTTTAGCATCCTATGATGCCAATAGTGTGTGTATGTACTATTGCAGTTTGATTTTCATCGTGGCTCATCAATTGTGTATGGAGTTGAGTGAAAAACAGCTGTTCCACCAATTTTGGACGCTATTTTGTCCATCAAATTCATGGCAGTGTAGAAAGTACTATTCTGCTAAATTTTCCATTAATTTCTGACAAGCACTGTTTATGATTAATTAATTGAAGTGGGTTTAACAGAGGCAGATACTAGTTAAAAAGGAGCTTGAGGTTGATTACTTGGTCCTTCTGATTCATAATGGTGGCTAGGCAACGAGCATAGTTGGTTACCAAATTCATTTCCCTTCAATGACTTCCTTTTTCTTGGGTCCTCTGGCGCGTCTCACCCACTTTACGCCCACTTTATCAGGCCCCTGTCCCAATCCAAGATAACATGCTCGACCACCATAAACATAGCCGCAGATTTTGATCCCTGTTCACTTCATTTTATTTAATAGTATCTCAACTTTAAACAAATATCTTTTCTCCAGTTCATGTTCATTCCAATGACATATCTCTGCATTCAAACACTTTTTATCAAACACATGTGTTATATAATACGAAGACATGCACATCTTATTTACTATATTTTATCAAACACTTACTATTTCTTCCTTTAAGTTATATAGCTTATAAAACCTTAAAGTGTTAAATACAGATTGGTGTCTACCACCAATCTTGTTCTCTGGGAAAATGTCAAAATTTCCCACATATTCTTGGTTACTGTCACACCGTGTCTCAACCACTATCCCAATTCCATTAAAGGGAAATAAAACGAATAAAGGGACAATAAAATCAAAATAATAGCGATTACCCGCCACATTTATGCAATTGAGTCTCTAGCTCAACTCTCCACCCTCTCATCATTTCCCTTATAAATCCCACACCTACCTCAAACCTCAACGTAAACTAGCTAATTATAGCTCTAGCTATATTATACTTGTACCACACTCATTGTAGCACAACGCTAATCTTCATCAACCATGGACTGGTTCTCCTGGTTATCCAGGACCAGCCTAGAACCTTCCCTCATCTACGAGTATGGCCTTGCCTTCGCTCGCAATGAGCTTCAGTTAGAAGATGCCATCTACTTCAACCACGAGTTTCTTCAGAGCATGGGCATTTCCATCGCCAAACACAGGCTAGAAATCCTCAAGCTGGCCAAAAAAGAAGATGGGGTAGTGAAAAGCAGCAGCAGCAGCAGCAACAAGTTTTCTGGGGTCATCAAGAAGTGCCTTAAGAAGTGCTTCAGCAAGCTGGTTTCGCGTGAAGATCACCAAGAAGCGATGATGATGATGATGAAGGAGATGCCACCAGAGCCAAACTGGTACCAAGGGAAGTGGAGAAGGGCCAGACATAACAACGAGGAAATCAAGGGCGAGAATAAGGGAGTGCAGAGAAGCAGGAACATTGCACTGTCAGGGCCTTTGGATGGCACAAATGGAAGAATAGTGCATGAGAAGATGGTGAACAACAGCAAGGTGATGAAGTTGTCTGGTCCTCTCGATGGGAAGGTGAACGGCAATGAGAGAGTGGCGTTTGCAAATGCAAATAGAAGTCCAATAATGAGTGCTACTCCTACTAGGACTCTTGATGGAAGGTTCATTGGCACAGCAAAGAGTCCAAGGGTTTCTGGTCCACTTGATGCAAGACCAGTCCTTTGTAATAGGAGTCCTAGGTTACCTAGGCCTTTAGATGAAAGGGCTGAGAGCCCAATGGGGTACAGTCCCTACAATAAGGTCAGAGCTGATGCTGATTATGATGATGATTATGCAATGTGGCCTTCATTGTTTGAGGATCTTAAACCAACATAAATCATATATTTTGTGTTTGTTTCTTTTTTCTGGCTTATTTTTACACTTTGATGGCGAGTGATTGCAAGCTTTTCATACAATAATGGTAAGTGGCACATGAAATGAAATCTGATGTTTACTGCAACTTTTTTGTATGCCCCTACTATGAGATTGTTGGGAAATAAGGTCGGATAAGATGGAATAATAATAATACACCAATGTGAGATCAATAAAAGACACGAATATTTGTTAACCCAGTTCGGATTAAATCCTACATCTGGGGGCGAACCAAGCCAGGAGAATGAACTAGAATAAGAGGATAAACCGAATGTTACAATTCACACAAGCCCGTATGAATACACTCTCTCTACTCTTTCTTCACACTTGGATTGGATACAAATGAGGTTACAAAATGAGGTATTTATAGCCAAACAAATCCTTCTTGAGAGGAAGTTGAGAGGAAGCTCCCTTCCTTTGACCAGGAAGTTGCAAGGAAGTAGCCTTCCTTTGACCAGGAAGTTGCAAGGAAGTAGCCTTCCTTTGACCAGGAACTTACGAGGAAGTTCCCTATCTTTGACCGATCTTTACACCTCAACAATCTCCCACTTGAAGATTGGTCAACCTGTTCATCTCTGCTCTTGGTTCTGCTAAGTCTGCCTGTTTTAATCATCAAGGCCAGTCGAAGCTACACACAGCTTCAACTTTTCCAAAGTTACCGCCTTGGTCAACATGTCTGCAGGATTCCTATCTCCCCGAACCTTTTTCAGCTGCAGCATCTTCTTCTCTAGAAGTTGCCGGATGAAATGATACTTAACCTCGATGTGCTTCGTTCGCGAGTGAAACGCGGGGTTCTTTGCCAGATGGATTGCACTCTGGCTATCGCTGTATAGAGCCACATCCTCTTGAGGTCTCCCAAGTTCATTCAAGAAGTTTTGCAGCCAAACGAGCTCCTTGGCTGCCTCCGTCACTGCCACGTACTCAGCTTCCGTTGTGGACAATGTGACTATCTTCTGCAGCTTTGAGATCCAGGATACGGCCGTCCCGCCGTAAGTGAATACGTACCCAGTAGTACTCCTCCTCTTGTCAAGATCACTTCCTGCAAAATCAGCATCGACATACCCAGACAGGGTAAGGGTACCCCTGCCAAATACTAATGCCCGGTCCTTAGTACCCCTCAGGTACCTAAGGATCCACTTTACCGCCTCCCAGTGCATCACTCCAGGATTGCTCATGAACCGACTGACTACTCCCACTGCATGTGCTATGTCTGGCCGGGTGCAGACCATAGCGTACATTAGGCTCCCGATAGCCGAAGCATACGGCGTAACTCTCATCTTTTCTTTTTCCGAGTCATCCTGGGGCGAATCCTTGTTGGACAACTTGAACCTGGCTTCCCAATGGCACTCGAACCGACTTTGCGATATTCATATTGAATTCGCACAACACCTTCTCAATATAATCAAATTGAGAAAGCCAAAGTTTACCAGCATTTCTGTCCCTCGTGATTTTCATGCCCAGTATCTGTCTCGCTTCTCCTAGATCCTTCATATCAAATCTCCTTGATAGCTGATCTTTGAGCCTCTCGATCTCCTTGACATCTGATCCTGCTATCAGCATGTCATCCACATATAGCAGTAAAATAATGAAAGAGTTACCGAACTTCTTCACATAGCAACAATGATCAGCATTACACCTGGAGTATCCTATCTCCAGCATGAAATTATCGAATTTTCGGTACCATCGTCGAGGAGCCTGTTTCGAGTCCGTACAAGCTCTTCTTTAGGCGACAGCACCTGCGATCATTTCCTCTATATCCCTCTCGGTTGCACCATGTAAATTTCCTCCTCGAGATCCCCATGCGTAAAGGCCGTCTTCACATCTAACCGTTGCAACTCCAAGTTTTCCGCCGCTACGATGCTTAACACTAAACGTATAGTGGTTAACTTAACAACGAGTGTAAAAACATCGGTAAAGTCAATACCGTATCTCCGTTGGAATCCCTTTACTACAAGTCCGGCCTTGTACCGTTTTGTTCCATCTCGATTCCTCCTTGACCCGATAGACCCATCTGTTTTGAAGAGCCTTCTTTCCTTGTGGGAGATCACACAAATCCCATGTGTGGTTCTTCTTCAACGAGTTCATCTCGTCTTCCATCGCAAGCTCCCACTTGCTCTTGTGGGCATCTTTAACCGCCTCTGCATAACAGTCGGGTTCCCCGAATCGGATAAAAGTAGGTAATAAAGAGAAGGGGAGTACCTATCCGGGGCCCTTCTCATCCTTGGTTCTCGGCCCAGTGCCGGAGGCGTGCTCGCTCTCAGCAATCGGTTCATCCGATTCTGTTCCGCCTCTTCTTCTGTACGCTCGATCTCATCTATCTCGAGCTCCCACTCGTATCTCGCTGGTCTCATGATTCCGGTATTTGAAATATCGAGACCAACATACTCCTGCATGGTCTTGTCATCGTCCAGGTATTCCTTCCGGTCCTTGTACATTATGCCTTCATTGAACACCACATTACGATCAGCGAATAATTTTCCGATTTTGATCATCCCAAAATCTATACCCAAATTCGTCAGTCCCATATCCAATGAATGTACATTTGACGGACTTAGCATCCAGCTTTGTCCGGTCGTCATTCAAAACGTAAGCCAAACAACCAAATGTACGTAAGAAAGAGAGATCAACTTTCTTACCACTCCGGACCTCTTCCGGAATTTTGTTGTTCGATGGGACGAAGGCCCCGGTTGATCAAGAAAGCGGCCGTGCTGATCGCTTCCGCCCAAAACATCTTGGGCAGTCCACTCTTCAATCGCATGCATCTCGCACGCTCATTCGAGTGTTCTGTTCATCCTCTCCGCAATGCCATTTTGTTGAGGTGTCCCCGGGACCGTCTTCTCGCATCCGGATCCCATGATCGGCGCAGTATTCTTTGATGGCTTCACCGTTGTACTCGCCACCGTTGTCGGATCCGAGACATTTCACTTCCGGACCTGTCTCTTTCTCCACGAGTGCTCTCCATCTCCCGAAAGTATCAAAGGCTTCGGATTTTCTTTTCGGAAAGTACACCCATACCTTTCTTGTGTAGTCATCGACGAACGTCATGTAGTACATCGATCCTCCAAGAGATGTCACCGGTGCTCGGCCCCCATAAGTCGGTGTGCACTAGCTCCAGCTTTTTCGTCTTTGGAGCTCTTCCGGTGGTTATGAAGCTCACTCGCTTCTGCTTTCCAAGCACGCATTGCTCGCGAGACCCACATCCACCGACTCCAACTCGGGCAAAAGTCCTCTCGACTTTAGTACCTTCATTCCTTTTTCGCTCATGTGGCCCAAGCGATCGTGCCATAAGTGCGATTGTGAGACAACTCCTGCCAGGAGAATGTTTGAGCTGGATCTACTCGCCGTGTAAAGCGTTCCCGACTTCAGCCCTCTTGCCAAAGTCATAGCTCCTCGGCTGACCTTCCACTTTCCGTCTCCAAACATTGTGTGGAAGCCGTCATTGTCCAGCTGTCCAACCGAGATGAGATTCCTCTTCAGTCCTGGAATGTGTCTCACATCACGTAGGGTCCAAGCATGACCCATTTGCGGACTTGATCTCGCACATCTCCCTTCCCTACAATTTTTAGGGATTTGTTGTCTGCAAGATATACCAAGCCAAAATCACCTGCGGTGTATGGCTCCATGATGTCTCTGCTACTGCATGAGTGAAATGAGGCCCCTGAGTCCACGATCCAGTCATCGAGCGAGCTTCTCACACTCAACAAGAGTGCATCCGCCGTGTCCTCCGTCGCGGCATTGGCCGTCCGACCTTCTTTGTCTTTCCTTGGTGCCCGGCATTCGCTTTTCATATGCCCAGGCTTCTCGCAGCTCCAACACACCATCTCTTTCTTGCCTTTATTCCTTCCCCTGGATTTTGACCTCCCACGGATTTTCCCTCGTGTTTCGGGTCTCCTCTGGACTCTGTATGTAGGGCCGAGCCGGACGACCCACCCGCCCGATTTCTGCGGGTCTCCTCGTTCAACATCATATCTCTTATGTTGTCGAACTTCATCTTCTCCTTGCCGAAGAAGTGCTCACCGAAGTAACGACCACGTCCCAACTGTCCGGCAATGATGAGAGCAAGATTAGGGCTTTTACCTCATCATCAAACGAAATATCCACCGATGCCAACCGCGTAGTGAGTTGGTTGAAATCGTTGAGATGATCGGCCACCGACTTTCGCTCCTCCATTTGCAATTTGAACAGCTTTTTCATCAGCATCACCTTGTTTATTGCCGATGGTTTTTCATACATGTCTGCGAGTATCTCGCAAGACCTCCTTCGTGCTTTTTGCTCCCTTCACATGGTAGGCGACGTTCCGAGAGAGCGAAAGAATTATAGCACTCATCGCCTTCCGATCGAGCACCTTCCATTCATCATCGCTCATCTTCTCGGGTTTTTCCCCAAGAGGTGCGTAGAGGTCCTTCCCGTACAGGTAAGCCTCCATTTGCATTCGCCGGAATCCAAAGTCGGAACCATTGAACCGTTCGACTTGAATCTTTCCCTCCATCTTATCTCCAACCTCCCGGCTCGATACCAGCTTGTTGGGAAATAAGGTCGGATAAGATGGAATAATAATAATACACCAATGTGAGATCAATAAAAGACACGAATATTTGTTAACCCAGTTCGGATTAAATCCTACATCTGGGGGCGAACCAAGCCAGGAGAATGAACTAGAATAAGAGGATAAACCGAATGTTACAATTCACACAAGCCCGTATAAATACACTCTCTCTACTCTTTCTTCACACTTGGATTGGATACAAATGAGGTTACAAAATGAGGTATTTATAGCCAAACAAATCCTTCTTGAGAGGAAGTTGAGAGGAAGCTCCCTTCCTTTGACCAGGAAGTTGCAAGGAAGCTCCCTTCCTTTGACCAGGAAGTTGCAAGGAAGTAGCCTTCCTTTGACCAGGAACTTACGAGGAAGTTCCCTATCTTTGACCGATCTTTACACCTCAACAGAGATCACATCATTTATCGACAATTAAGTTAATATCTTTAGATGGTGGTTCTTTTCACAGTGTCATGTTTCTTGCTATTATCTTGGGCGTTATGTGGAATGAAAAAGGTCATGATAATTTTCTGATTGTCTTATATTGATTGAGGTTTATAGCAATATAAGATTATATAGATCATGACTTGGGGACATGGAAGACCAGGCCTAAGTCCCGCCCGATACCTAACAGTATCCAGTATAAGGTGCTTAAAGGAAATCATCTCAAGCAAGTGGTGAAGTTGTTTTAACTAGTTTTTTTTTTTTTTGAAACACTAACTTTTGGAAATTTTATGTAATTATTTATATTATTTGTTGAGAAATCTAAGTGCAACTCTAATCCCATATTAAGTAAGAATAAGAAAATTAAGTAACATATAAGAAATAAAGAGAATTAGATTAAAAGTAGTGTCAATCACTTATTTGGGCTAGACTCATGTTTCATTGGTATTAAACTCAAAAGGATATATTAATGTGATGATATCAGAACAAATTTGTGTGATAATAAAAAATTTAAGAGTGGTCTTTATATCGAAAGTCTTCTGATAGTGAGTCAGGTAAACATATCCTGAGTTTAAAATGATATATTAATGTGATGAGAATCATAATTAAGAGGAAAATTATTAGGAAGGGTTAGGTAAACATATCCTGAGCTCAAAAGGATATATTAATGTGATGAGAATCACACTTAAGAGGGTTATTAGAAAATTCAAGTGTAAGTAAGTCTCTATTTAGTAAAAATGAGGAAATTGAGTAATATATAAGGAAGAAAAACTCATAACCTAATACCTTAAAGTTTTTTTGTTAAAGGTGGTGTCAATCTTATATGAGTTGAATTCATGTCTTAATGATGTTATCTCTCCTTGATAAATCCCTCTTGAAAGATCTTACATTTAATAAGGAAAATTGTTTTAAAATGATAATAAAAAAGTAATTTTGAAAATATTATTTTTCTAAAAGTTTACATTTAAGTTTTTTAATTTCTTGATTGAAATATATTGAATATGCCATTAATTTTGATGATTGGTTATATTTGGTGTCTCACAAATGTTAGTTTAGTATTGTGTGGCTTGAATGGGGTGCAAGCCACCTATAATCGATGATCTCATAATTTAGACCTCTAGTCAATTTTATAACGAGATAGTCTTTTGGTTCAATTTATCTAAAGTCAATATTTAAAATATTTATAATGCATGATCAATCATGATTTTATGTCCCATAAAGATTAGATAGTCATAGTCTTATGATCTCATTGTACCATTTGTAAACACATGAGACTGAGAGTTCTAGGGTGTATGACAATTTTATCTTTTTATGTTAAAGACCCTCCAATGTTATTTTTGAAATGTCATATTGTTTAATTATTTATAAATATTTAACCTCCCCATTCATTTATTTTCTTAACCACTTGTTTTGAACCTTCCTTTGAAAGACACAATTGTCCTTTATGCTTTCAAGTTTGCTCCACTAGGTGTTTGCTTAGCCCTTTTACTTGTTTTTCTAGTTGTGTTTCTTAAACCTAGGATAGAACAATGAATTATAGTACCTTATACCCTATGACTAAAGCCAAATTTCTTCATGAAGCCTAAGGATACACAAATATTAAAATTATTAGAAAATTTAAAAATAGGCACACTCTTAACTAATCAATAAATGAAAAAGATGTAATAGTAGATGTTTATGGTAAATTCAAGCTAATACATAAAGACCATCAAGTCAATATTGTTAATTTTTTTTTAGGATACTATTTTACTAAATCAGGATTACAATTCCCCGTATACCCTTTTGAAGAAAAAAGTATTATGTGTCATGAATGATGCATTTACATAATTACACCTGAATAATTAGGCCTTTATCAAAGTCTTTCTATACTCATTTCAATATGGTAATGACATCCATCATGTTCTTTTATTTATTTTTTTATATAAAACATATAAAGAACCTCATGGACTTTGATTTGTGGGGTTAATGATCATAAACTATTTGCATTGATTTTATCTTTGTAGAAATATTTCAAAGAAAAATTTTGTGAAGGTTCAAGGTCCACAAACAATTATTCACTACTCGAAAATTTTCCTTTATATTGGACCCTAAAACTTAAACATATGTCTTTGAAAAATAAAAGAATTAAAGATTGATGAGGTCGAATACTACTAAGTTAGATCAACTTGACATCGATCTAAAAGTGTAGATAGATATATCATTTTTTCTATCTACTTATATGTATACCTTGTTTACATGTTATTAGACTCATTGACTTTATGATATACAAATTAAAGAAACAAAAGATATTGAAGTCAAAATTGGGATAAACCATGTTCCTACGTCATAATAGGCTCCTTATCAACTACAAATGGAGTTGAAAAGGACAATATCCAAGTAGAAGTTGAAAACAAGAAAAAGCACATAACCAAGATGGAAGGCTATCAAGGTGGAATCAAATAAAGTCCTTGAAAATGAACACTCATAATGAAATAGGTGTCTATCCAATGTTATGAGCAAGAATTGATACTCCATTGGTTGGGGAAAGCCATACAAGGAAGGTAAGGCCTTATTAGCACATAACCTAGTGCATATGTACCAATTCTAAGAGACCTAGCTTGGGTGGACACTTAACTTAACATCCAAAATTGTCTAAGTAAAGTAAAATCACTACTTTGGTTGTAATGATTATAACCTGAGCATGGGAAGCACTATCTTCAAGGAAGTAGATACAAAATTTGAAAAGTGTTTAGAATGAGATTGCTCAAATGAAAGATGAAGCAAAATAACTAAATAAGAATTATAATGAGGATGACAGTATTATATCAAAAAATGAGGAGGGACAAATTTGGAAAATGTTATTGGCAATGATGAGCAAGCACAACTGGCAAACAATCCACATGGGGAGAAGCATAGGAAATGGAAAAGGTAAAGAATAACAAACGCGCACTTGGATGAATACGTATCGGGTATCAAATAATTATATAGGCCTTTAGCATGGGAATGGGAGATGGTGTCTACCATACTTACCTTCTATATTGTTTTCTTTTGGTTCTTTGCAAGTTGCTATAGCAACCTTCCTCTATTATTATATCGCATTAAAGTAAATAACACTATCAAACAAAGTGCGAAACATATCCCAAATCAAGTTCGCTTTTTTCATTAGACTTAGTAATAACAGTACATATATACTTCTATCTGAGTAATAGTATCATCACATTACCATATGTGACTGTCAATGTATAGTAATTGGCTTCTATCCTTAAGTAGACAAATAATTTTAAGCTTAACACGCAAGTAAAACCAAAACTTTGAACCTTATAATTGATACCCAGCTACATCCACATCGCAGCACTGACATATCAAATGCAAATACCAGCACAACTGGTATGGAACATAACTAGGAAGCGCTCAGTTTCATTCATTGTTCAAATTCACTAAATTTAGTGACTTGCAGATGTCTGAGGCAGCCTGAAAGAGCCTCCAGCATAAAGCATTCGGTAAACAGGCTTAATTCTCAAAGTCAGGATAACGCTCAAGATGATGCCAGCACCACACACCCCAGCAAGAATGAGAAAGGTAAGCTTAAAGCAATTTGGACCGAGGCAAGAAGCAGCTGAATCAGGAAGGATGACATGCTGCTTTGCTGCCTCATTGTCATATATGTTCCCTGCTAGCAGAACCGAAAAGAGGAATGCACCAATTGGATTCCCCAACGACATGATGCTGCTCAGAACTCCGAAGTGCTTCAGACCGAAAACCTCAGAAACGGTAGGGACCATCGCAGAAACTTGCACACCAAAACAGACACCAAGAAATGCAACTGCAGGGTAAAGGGTTCCATTGATAGCATAGGCAAACAGAAGGTATACAATGAGCATAATTATCTGCGTGAACGTCATCCAGATAGTCCTTGGGAGTGTTCTTGTCCTGAAATGCGTCAAAAAGCATGGATTACAATTAAATGAAGGGAAAACTGATAGTTCAAGGACAGGATAAATAGTTTTGTGGTTCTTCAACTAGTTCATTGTGGGTTCCGAATTTGAATTTATTGTTCCAGATAGAGACCCCAATTAACAAGGCTCAAGTTGAACATAAAAAGTTTATTCGTCTATTAACATCATGTAATGATCCTCTTACCCTTTTTTACTTATCAATTTTTTTGTAATCCAATAGTTGAGATGAGTTACAATTTTAGCCCATTAAATTATAAAAAAATAAGTGGTAATAATGATGAGTATCCCTCTAACTCTCTAAGATTTAAGCTAGTAGATCCCTCCTCTCTCTTTCTCTCTCTCTCTCTCTCTCTCTCTATATATATATATATATATATATATATATATATGTGTGTGTGTGTGTGTGTGTGTATAAAAATTCATAAAATCATGATAAGTATATAAGTGCAGGTCTACAATCCAAATTAAGAACATTCATCGTGAAAGTAACCAAAAACAAAATAAAGATTAATAAATCATTGTTATCATAAATCACTTCCAATTTTCAACAAATAGAAATAAGACTAAACAATACTTTTTCTAGGTTTCTATATCATGCCTCTAAATCTCATACGTAGTTGTATTACATTTTCATCATTTTTTAAAAGGTTTGAGTGCTTCGCAGATATGTATCTATAAACCAGTGAAGTATCCACAAGTATCAGTCTACATATCCATGAAAATATGAAGTATCAATGCTTATTCATCGATTGATATTGTAACTAACGGAGCTCAAAATTATATCTGAAAAATTTTTCAGCGTAAATGTCACTCACCTGACAAAATGTTCTGATACAACTCCTCCACCAAGCCGCCCCAAAAAATTGCAAAAACTGAAAATTGACAGCAGGGTAGTGGTGTCTTCCTCCCCTTGGGCAATACCTATTTGGGCCAGATTATTGAGAACAGTTACCCCAGTGCCAATGCCAACAAAGAAGACTAAAAACAGCAGCCAGAAATCTGCCTTCACTATAGCCTCACTTAACTTAAAATCTTCTCCACGTTTAGGCCTTCTCTTCTTCTGCTTCACAGCCCCCTCACCCAAAGCAAGAAGCTCCGCAACCTCAGATGAATCATCCTCATCATTAAAACTCCCCAGTGCCCCTGCCGATGAAGACGCCAGCAGCGGCTCTGCACTCTCATCTTTCCCGTGAGTCAGAGACTCAGAGGGTCCAACTGATTGCTCTGGTGACTCTGATTTAGAACCATTCCTTGGAAACAATGTCATCTTCAAAGGGACAGCAAGTGGAGCCATGAGAAGCAGAACCATCACAGTCACCAAAGCATATGAAACAGCATCACTAAAGGGAGAAACATTACCAAGTATGGTACTAACAAGAAGGTAAACACCCATGATCACACTGGAACCTTGGACAAACAGAAAATGGTAATGCTCCGCAGGGTCATCACCTGTTGCCGGGGTACAGGGCCTAACGAGAAACATCATGCTGAAGCAGATAACAGGAACACCAACAGCAAGAAACAACAGGAACGTTGAAGAATTGTTATGAAGCAGAATGCTGTAAATCTCGGTCCAAACTGCACCACTAATCCCCCCATAACCTTTCAGAACCCCAGCGACGGAGCCTCTGCTAGCAGGGAAGTTTCTCATGTTGGTCACCACAACCGAAGTGGTCAACCACGCAGAACTGTTGGCGGCAACAAGTAGAGCCAACCATAGCTGCAACACATCACATATCAGTAAATTACAGTTGTTTAATTTTCGGCTAAAGGTCTTTGGTCCTAGAATTGAATAGCTTCGTCAGGTTTGTATCGCTAAAATATGAAAATTAAAATCGATAACCTTGTTCAAGTATTAAATTTAAATATTTTGATCCGTGGAATTTTGTAAATCACCGCTTTAGACATTAGTCAATTTAGAACCATCTAACTGGGTTACTTATCTCAGCTTCTTAGGCTTAATTGTTAAGAAATGTTTATTTGACAGAGATGCAAGAGTTTTTTTTTTTTTTTTTATTTGCAATTTTTTAACCATAAATAATTTCAACTATAAGTAATCCAATCGGAGTATCACAATGCATAATTACTTAAACATGTTGCTTAGCTTAATTTTGTAATCTTATAATTCTGTACAGAAAGTGAGAGATATTACGGACCAGTAAGAAATGGAGGGAGGGGAGGATCTGGGAGACAGCAAGGAAGATGACGCCGTAGCCGAGGAAGGCGGCGAGGGAACCAACGACGACGAGGAGCCAAGGGGGGAACTTGTTGCAGGCGATGCCGGGGAGGAGGCTGAGGTTTTCGCCGATGTCGTTAGCCACACCGAGGAGCGTGATGTGGCGCTGATCAAAGCCCAGCACTGATTTCAAGGCGTGAGAGTAAAGAGGGAAGGTGGCAGTGGTCCCCGACGCGATCTGAACCCACACGGCGGCGCCTAGCCCCACCCACGGTGGGCGGCTCCCTCCCTTCTCCTTCAACATCGGGGAAGTAACCGAACGATCGAACTCACGCTTTTAACTCCTCTCTTAGCTTTGCTGCATAGCTGTCAAGGTGGGAAAGTGAAGTGGAGAGGTTCACGAGGTTGGCGCTTTGTGAGGTGGTGTGTTTCGTCCTTAGTTATATATATAGAGAGAGAGGGGTGAATTGTGAGTGAATGATTGGGTTTGGTTTTTGGAGAGAGGAAGTCACACGTTTTTGGTGCTCTGTTGAGCCTTTGAAAGTTACCAGTTATTATGAGTGTCAAATATGAATTCCACCACCAACCGAAACTAAACTATCGTTACATAGCCTCAGCTTCTTTAGCTTTTACCTGGGATGGCCAAACTGTTCTGTTTACTCCGTTGGTCTGCTTTATTTGACTATGTCTTCTTTGCTCCCTTCCCTCATTTGTTTGAAAATAATGGGTCGGACCATACATATTTTGCTTTGAATTAATGGAATAAAAATAATTTGTAGTATGTTTTTGTAGAGTTTTAATGTATAAGTTATAATCTTTTAAAAAAAGTCACAGTTCGTCGATTTAAGGTTTCTCTTTTTCAACATCCTTAATTTTGACCATAGAAACAATTGACATTAATTTTATTATTTCAAATATCTCTTTTAAAGTTTCATTGAAAATTTCCCGCTTTATTTCCCAAAACTAAAGTTAATCCCACTAAACATAATTGATCAAGACAAAATCAAATTTGTTCTCAATCATTTTTCAAAAAAAATTTCGAAAATAAATTTGAATATCTTACATAGATCAACTTTTGATACCAATCCTAAAGATTTAGGAATTGAATTCAAGAATGATTATATTCCACTTTAAAAAATTGTTCACGTTATATAGAAGATTTTTTCAAAATCCAGATAAATCACTTTATAATATAGATTTCTTGTCTGAGATTTTCATGAATCAATTATTAATACCCAAGAATAATGCAAGAAGATGTATAATAATAATAATAAAAGAGAAAAAAATAGAATAACATAATATATTTATACTAATTCACTATAATGATAAGTTTCATTCAATTGTTTAATCACTTTAATTGAACAGTTTTTTTATTTTATTTTAAGTTTATTCAAGCATTATATAAGATAAGTAAGAAAGATAGAAAACTAACGAAGAAGATCATCTAAAAAATGTAGAATGTAAACCACAGGGAAAAATATAATGAGGTGATTATCAATTCTTTAGTACAATCTTAAAACAACAAGTAAAGAAGTAGTAGAAATTAAAGTTTAAAGTGTCACATAAAATATCTCTCAATTTAATTCAAAAATTGCTTTGAAGAATTTTAAATTGATAATTTTTGCAAACTCTTTTGAGATCTATTTGTTTAACAAATTAAAATTTATTTTATCCATCAAAACTATCACTAAGTGTCAAATTGTAAAATTTTAATAAATTAATATATATTTTTAATATGTTAAAATTAATTGATTAAAATGTTTTTATTATCAAATCCATCATTACAATAATATTTTAGCATATAAAAAGTATGTTTAATCTATTAAAAATCTATAGAATCATAAAATAAAGTCATCTTCACTCCAAAATTGAATTCTTTTATAATAGTTTAAGTCGATAAATATATCACTTATAACATTTTAAACCTCGAAAGATTAAAATCTATGTCCAAATCTATCACTATGTGTAATGCCCCAACCGTTTATACAGAATTATCGACTATCCCCACAATCCAACATGAAACTTTCCAAGTACGCTTATTTATGAAGTTCTTATGTGATAGGTTATCGAAAAGTAAATACATTTTGTTGGTATAGGTAGTACCAATCAATTCTCTTAAGTTATCATTCAACTGTATACTCTCATACCTATACAATCTTTGGATTTCTCTACTTCAGGTGTGTTTCAGTTCATTCATATTACTTTTCCACTAGAAGTCTTCCAAGAGTCGTTCATTGTCCGTGCCTCACTGCACCAGCGATCACTCTCCGCCCTCGTTAGCGCCCAGATGTCACACCATGAATTCAATATTAAAATCTTATTGAAATCATCAAATCTTTAAAACTCTTTCTTTCAATAACAAGATGACTTCATGAGTCGTGGAAAAATAAAAAAAATTGAGCATATCTTATTTTTATTATTTAAGATATGAATGCTTCATTTTGAACACCAATAAAAACTTTGAAAATTTTGATTCCAATAAAAAGAATTTTGCTTTAATATTCTATATTGTTAAGACATAGTCTATTATTTAAAAAATGTCTTGTAAAAGAAGTCATTCGATTGAATAAATATAAGCATAATAAAAAATTATTAGAACTAAATAATAAATTTGTAGATCTTAAAATAGGTGAAAAAACTAAAAGACCTATATAAAATCCCACAGACATGTCTATCATATCATTAAATAATTTATCAGAAAATGTGAACTTAAAAAAAGAACTCATCAACTTATAAAAGACAATCTAATAATAATCATTATTGATAATCCAAAGAATAGTTTACCTCCATATCATTGAACCTAAGAAAATCAATATTAGACAACGAGAACAAAATATTAGGCCACCAAAACTAAATTCCATTTAGAAAAACGATCTTTAGAAGTTAATAAAACTTCATAGAAAATATAAAATAATTGTTGGAGTCAAATAAATCTTGATGAATAAGTTTAATAAAATATAAATTAATGAAAAACAAAATTAGCTAATAATTAAAGATACTCCCTACAAATAGTTACGTAGCAATCAAAGACTTTGAGGGTTTTTTTTTTATAATGTCTCCTCGCGTCAGATAATTCCATAGCAACCCAACCCCACCCACACATTTTGTGGAGCGATTTGATGCATTTGGCACTAAATATGTTCATAAAGTTAGGTTATTTGACATCAAAAGCGATCAAGATTATGATAAAGATCAAGAAGAAGAAGAAGAACTAATATCCTGATAAAGCACCATTTTAGTAACAGCTGTCCCATCACATCCAACATAAAAAGAAACACGACACGCAACTTCCACAGTTTTTTTTTTTGTCCACACAAGATTTATTTTTTTTTGGACACATGATTCACTACAAGAATTTTACATATTAGCTATGACACATTCCATAGCTATTTTATAGCTAATCTCTCATTGGTATGTTTTGTTACAGATTAGCTACGGAATAGTTATGGAATAATCCGTAGCTAAATCCAAGTAGCTAATTAGATACAGATGTATTCTCTCTCAAACTTGTAGCAAATTTTGTGGCTAAATTGTCGCTAAATCCCTCGCTAATTTAAATGATGAAATTTTGTTTATCTCTAGCTAATTTGATCTCCCAAAACTTGTAGCTAATCCGTAGCTAATCTCTCGCAATTTCGCTCTTGCTAATCCGTAGCTAATCCCTCGCAATTTCGCTCTCGCTAATCCGTAGCTAATCCCTCGCAATTTCACTCTCGCTAATTCGTAGGTAATCTCTCGCAATTTTCTCTATCGCTAATCCGTAGCTAATCCCTCGCAATTTTACTCTCGCTAATTCGTAGCTAATCCCTTGTAATTTTTCTCTCGCTAATCCGTAGCTAATCCCTCACAATTTTTTCTCTCGCTAATCTGTAGCTAATCCCTGATAATTTATCTCTAGCTAATGTGTGGTTAATGTCTCACAATTATTTCATCACTAATCCGTAGTTAATCCTTTGCAATGTTTCTCTCGCTATTTCATAGCTAATCCCTCACAATTTTTATCAAAATTTATAATATCAAATATTTAATATTTAAATTATTACTCATATTCTTAAAAAAAGAAGACAAACTTATCAACTTTCAGTATAAAAGTATTGTTTAAACATAGTTAAAATGATGTTTCAAACAATTAAAACATAACAAAAATAATATTTCAACTAAAAAGTTCTGTATAACACAATTAAAAATAGAAACAAAGTTTAAAGTACGTTTTCATCATTGTTTCTTTAAGGCAGATAATAAATCTCTCTTGAAAGACTGCATTTCTTCTTGCATTTGTTATTGCATGAGTGTCTGCATTTTTGTTTGTGTCTTCATTTGTGCTTGTATATTAGTTTGTGTCTGCAACTATGTTTTCATCTGCTTTTGCAAATTAGATATCTGTGCAACTAAGGTAGTGAAAGATGAAACATGTAAAATATCAAGATCCAAACTCGGACCTATACTATAAATTTTACTTTTTTTATTTTTACCAACGAATCTTTATCCAAAGATCATAACCAACTAGATGATTAAAAGATGATGGATATATTGAGTCCAAATGTATGAAATAAAATAACCAATGTTTTTCACTATAATACAATGACGAGGAAAAACAGAATAATAATTTAGAATACATCTTTTTGTTTGTGCGTGAAGTAATATTACTAGCAAGACATTACTATTATTATTATTGTGAATATAAAGAAAAATAACTAGATATGAATCTTCATTGAAATAATTATCATTAAAAACAACTTATTTTGAGGCATAGACGAAGTTATATATATATATATATATATATATATATATATATATATATATATATATATATATATATATATATATATATAAAAACTCATTTAAAATTTGTAACTCTAGTTTAAAATAACTTTATAATGTCTTATATCATTTCTAGGACCCACATTTCTTGCTTAAATTCACAGGTGAACAAACATTAAAAGTTTTAAAAATTAAACTTTAAATGAAGAAGGGGTTATAGTTGTTTCGGTGACTGCACCAGCTTCTTCTTTGCTCTGCCTAGCTACTGAAAAAAAAAATATAGATTTAAAATTTTTGCATTCAACTTTATTTTTTTCCCCTCTAAGATCAATGAATCAAATTTTACGGAATGTCTTTTTTCTGCCTAACAAAGTAAACTAACTCACTAAAATACAGACAACTATCCTGCTTTTAAAAATCAAGAATTGAAGCCTAACCTGCATCTTTATAATTTGGCCATGTCATCCAATGAAGTATTGGTTTTCAATATAAATAAAGTGTTGAGCAGATCTGATCGCTTGAATATATGTTGTTTGAATGCTTTTGTATATAACCAAATTTTTAGCACAAATAAGATTCTGCACAAAAGAATTGTTAATTAGAAAATGCGGGATACAGTTCCAATCAATTCCATATATAAGATCCTATACTATTTGATTTGGAAGCATGTAGTACAGAGTTTCACTTAATATATTTGGAGTTTTCTATAAACAAGAAAGTATAATGCTGGTTGATAAACCTGGGACAGAGCAACATCAACATGTTTGGGAAATCCTTTCAGGGACCCTGAGTCAAATGAAGCAGAAGATCTGTAAGAGTTGGAAAACATTGTAATGAAACAAATTATATCTAAAATCAAGAAAGAATAGCATAAGATTTGCTCATAACTAAGCTTGCAGTGTCAAACCTGAACATGCCAGTTTTCAGGATCATTTTCACTAGAAACCCATACTGAAAGGTCATCCTCTGGAACAACTGTATAATGATCCCTGAGTAGTGTGGACTTGTTCTAGAGTCAAAGTGAATCAAACCCTGAATGATCCAAACACTTGCCTGTTGCTTCAAGAAACTCATCTTGTTGCTGGCATACCGAGACGACAAAACACACATTACTGAAGAATGTTTAAAAAACTTCCTGGTTTCCTCATCATGAGTCTGCATCACACCAGTTTGCACAAAACGTATCAGAGCAATCAGCAACCAATCAAGCATTCTGACCGATTACAAAAAGGAAAGAATGTAAAATGCCAATGCCAGGTAGAGCAAAATCCTAACCGTCTTGAGTAAAATCTTATCGTGCGAAGTTTTATCATCCCAAACTAGCAACAACACTCTCACCCCTTCTTCAGACTTACACTTCAGCAACTCTCCAAGCGTCAAATCACCTCGTGGGAACGTCCTAGTAGGCTCTCTAACAAGCTTCACCTTATGGTAAATCGACCAACCCACCAAATACACCATGTGATGAGCCTCAGATATGGCATAACAAATACCCTCCCAACACTTCCCGTGCCTATAAACCTCTCCATTCTCAAGCTTTACCTCAGGTAACTTCCCTTTTCCAGATTCGGGACATTGCGCTTCTTGATACAACCTTACTGAACTCCCCTTTCTCACTGGAAAATACGTGTTCCTCACTTCGCAGTGCTCCGGATCCGCTGCAATGTCTCGCTGGTAAAGCAAATTCTCCTCCACCGGCGTGAATTTCATCTACACGTGCAACGTTGTGTCTCGCTTCGCCGGCTTCCCGGATGGTCCAATGATAGGAAACCAGTCGAAAATTAACTGGCCAGTAGCAATCAACCACGCCAGAATCTTCACAGTTCCCATCGTCTGCGCGCCAAAAACGTCGTCGTCCTTCACTCGAAACTCCAAATCCACAACTAGATGCGCGAGTGGGATGTGGAACTGCTCTTTCCACTCAGGGTCCTAGGAGTTCTTCAGCACTCGCGTGCGTGCCACCGTCGCCTACGACACTGAAACCATCACGTACGGGCCGCTCGTGATGATCCTCCTATTGTGGCGCGTCCGCTGGCTTCCACTGTGGGCGGAGACGTCGTCAAAGTGGAATTTGATAGTGTCACATGTTACGCAGCGACGAAGATGCTCCGAGAAGATGTCCATGTTCGTCAACTGCCGCGCCTTGATGATTTTCAAATCAAGGTCACCACCATGAATATAGATGATGTCATTGTCATTGTCGTTGCCAGTGACCGCCATGGAAAATGTGAGCATTAGCCCGTGCGCTGAGTGTATATAGTTTTGACTTTACACCAGGAGCGAAAGAGAGTGTTTTAATATAAAAAATAGATAAGTACTAAAGGTTTAGATAAAATTTATAAAAAAATATTATTTATAAAATTTTTAACTAATTTAAATATAATTTTTTTAAGAAAAAATTACAATTAATTTTTGTTGATATTTTTTAAAAAGATCAAAATTATTTTTTATAATTATATATTTTCAGAAATTTACAAGTATTTTTTTAAATAATTTTTTGCAAAAAAAAAAAAAAACAATACAGAGAATAAATGATTTTTAGTAGAAAGTTGACTTATTTGTAAGAAATATATAAAAAAATATTTAGTAAATTTGAATTGAAGATGTGAAAGAATGATTTCCAGTAACTTAATATTCTTTTTAATTTGATATTTGTTATAAATTTGCTACAGTTTAGCTATAATTGTATGTTACATAATTTAGTTAGGGAATAGCTTTAAAAATTAACATAGCTAATATTTATAGCGAGAGATTAGTGACAAAAAATTTCCTAGCTAAATTATTTTTCTGTTAAGTGAGGGAATAACTTCAAAAATATTAGTCTTCTAGCTATTTTACTACAAATTAACTACAGTCTTATTCTTTTACTATTCCATAGCTAATTAGCTATAAATTAGTTAAAAATAAATTTTGTAACAAATTTTTCTAACTAATTATAAATTTTCTTGTGGTGATTAATCATACTTTAGTAAAAAAAAAGGACTTAAGCGAGAGAAAGCCTATATGCCAAAAATAGAACGAAAAATAGAAACTATGAAACTTAACTTGACTAAATGGACTGAATTAAAAAATTTGCACAAATTTTTAAAATACAAATATAAAATAGGTTTAAAATGGACAACTTATTCTAAATTATAGACCGACCCAAGATTTTTATGATATGTTGGATAACTTGTTTGACATTTTTAGTGAAAAATTATTTGAAAACTTGGTGAGTGATAATTAAAAGTTGTTGAATTAGTTTAGTTTATTGATATTTGATATAATTATTTATTAAAGTAACTGATAAATATAAAATAATAAAATTAGAGATGTTAATTTAAACTTTGCTAATTTTTTATTTATAACTTAACCATTTAAATTATATATTTATTTTTAATTATTATATGTTTATATTATATATTGTATTACTCATCTTAAATTATCAATAAATTATTTAAGTTTTATCATTATCAACAAGTTTTGCTAAAAAAATTGAACACATCATTATGATAATAGACAAATGCAAAATCATAAAATTAGTTTAAAGGTTAATACACAGAAATATATTTTTAAAGGGATCATAATATATTTTTTTAATAAAATCTTACCATTTTTTCTTTTTACAGTAATCCCACCAATTCCCTTTCTCCATCCTAATGTTAAACTAATCAAAATTCATCTTCCTCCAATAAAAAAAAAAAACTCAAATACTCTTCAACCTACTAGAAAGGCTAACTCAAATGCAAAATAAATAGCAGCTTACTTTATAATAAACAAAAGTATTCTACACCACTAGAAAAAAAAGTAAGACCTATTTAGATTTTAAAATGATGAAAGAAAGTGAAAAATCTTAATGCTATTTAGAAGTTGCAGAAACCCGTGCTGATTTGTGATGGGGAATTTCAGAGGTAGCACCGACACTTTTTGACTTAATGCTATTTATTTACTTCACGGAAGGTTTATTTATTTTAAATATAATAAAATATTATCACTCACCTACTGTATGATGTTCTACATGGGACATATTGGTAGTTCACCAAATGTACAATTTATTTGTTATACAATTTTTTAAGAGTCTATTTAATTAAAGAAATTTTATTTAAATTTTAGTACCTTAAAAAATAGAATGATAACTGTATTATTATTAAAATTTTAGTATAATATTTCGTTAGCATACTTTTGATATAATAATTTAAATCTACGTGCAGGTTCATTAGCCTATTTAGATGCATTTAATCTTCTTTAATAATTATTTAAAAATATTTTAGACGAAAAAAAGTTCAATATAAAATATTAGATATGATTAGACGAATTTACGCTAGAATATGGATGAGATGTACTAATTTTATAATAAAATTTTATGTATGTTAATAAATCAATATAACTTGAGTTTAAGATAAAATAATATACTTTATTTCAGAATATCTAAACATGATACTACATTAATGAAATCTCCTCTAACATTAAACAAATTCTAGAAGATATAATATGAAAATACCTTTTTTTTTTCAATTTTCAATATAAAAGTCTCCAAAAACATAAAATAATTATATATATATATATATATATATATATATATATATATATATAATTTTCACAATAATATCATAGTCTCTTTATTTGAATAATAAAATTACAATAAACTATAAAAGAGAATTTTAAATAAAGATTAAATATAATGGTAATAAATTATAATACGATCCATATACATTTGATAGTTATTCTTAATTTATCATTAAAAATTAAATATTATAAATTAAAATATTTTTATAATTATATATGATTAATTATTAAAAATAAAATATTTTATAATTTAAAAAAAATATTATTAATAAAGAAAAAAAGTAAAAATCTCATGAATAATTTAAATATTTTAAAATTAATATAATTTTAATATTACTTCTATATGATTAAACATTATTATATTATATTTTTTGTGTGTGTTAATATATGATTAATATTTATTTTACATTATATAAATATTCATAATATAAAAACAAGATAAGCCCACCAAAGTTCATATAAATTAGGATGATATGTATAATTAATTTTCTAAAGAACAAACATCCAAGTTAGAAGAGTTATCTAAGAAAATAGGATCGCAATATGGGTTAGTTTCAGTGCGTTAGCTTGCCTAATCCGCCATATATATATATATATATATATATATATATATATATATATATATATATATATATATATATATATATATATATATATATATATATATATATATAAAAATAAAAATATTATAATAAAAAAATTATATATTTTTTTATTATGTTGTTAGAATATATAAAAATATTATAATTTAAATATTAAATATTAACCGGTTTAAATTATGATTATAATGAATTATTTTGGCATATAAATATAATAATTTTTTCAAATTTTTTAATAAAAATATTAATTAATGAATAAAAAACTTAAAAAATATTTATATAATTAAAGATGTATTTTTTTCAATAAAAATAAAAAATATTGGTGGATGGGTCTCGCTAACTTGTCAGCTTATCCTTTGGCAAGATGAATTGATATATATATATATATATATATATATATATATATATATATATATATATATATATATATATATATCAATTCATTTTGACTACAGTGGTCATCCGTACTATCTCATTTTTTTGAATTAGAGACCAGACGCACAGAAATAAGAAATACTGACCCATTTTGTTAGATGTGCGAACAAATTACAAATCAAATTTAGAATAGTCGGTCAATAATCATATTAGGAAGGTATATTCATACCTTATGAAAAACATCGTTCACTTAATAGAGACTAGAATAAATGACATAGTTATAACAATACGTCATTATTCATTATTGGATGTAATTATTGTAACACATTATTATTGGACATAACTATCATAATACATCAATAAAATAGAGTTGTTATCATTCATCATAAACAAATAAATCTAGTTAACTCAAATCTATAAAAAAATATTCGAGTTATACATTAAAATCAAGTTAGATATTATCCGAACACATCATTATGCTATAACAATTATATGAGCAAGTCATTACGACATAACAATGATCTGAGTACATCATTACATTATAGAAATCATTGGAACATGTCATTACATCATTATGTCATAATAATAATGTGCCATAACACTTGATATCAACAAATCAAATACAATATCACAAACATAAAACATTCATCAAGCTTCATATTACTATAAAAAAATCATATATTTATAACTTGAATTTCATTGTCGTCCTATACTTCAAAAAGATACTTTTCTATTTTGAGTAAACCTCAACTATAATTCTAAATCAAACACATATTAGTCGTTATTCTAAATCAAACTCACCTCCACTTTAATGATATTTTATAAATTACACGTTTGGATAAATATAATTAAAGAAAAAACAGTTGTTCTAAATCAAACCCACCTCAACTCTAATGATATTTTATAAATTGTTAGTCCGAATAAAATATAATTAAAGAAAAAATAGTTGTTAAGAAAAATTTGTAGTTGTTGAATCAACTTAATCACACCTGTAATAAACGGAAAAACAATTAACTCATATAAATCAAAGAGTAACACAAATTCATTTATAGTTGGGATAAGTATTATAAAATTTCATCAAACTCACCTCAACTTTAATGATATTTTATAAATTTTTAGTTCGAATAAAAATATAATTAAAGAAAAAAACAGTTGTTATAAATAAAACCCACCTCAACTTTAATGATATTTTATAAATTGCTAGTTCTAATAAAATATAATTAAAGGAAAAATAATTGTTAAGAAAAAATTGTATTCATAGTTGGGATAAGTCTTATAAAATTTCATCAAACTCAATTCAACTTTAATGATATTTTATAAAATGCTAGTTTGAATAAAATATAATTAAAGAAAAAACGGTTGTTCTAAATCAAACTCACTCAGGAAAAAATAATTGACTCATATAAAATAAAGAATAACACAAATTCATTCATAGTTGAGATAAGTCTTATAAAATTATTTGTATTTATAGTTGGGATAAGTCTTATAAAATTTTATCAAATTCACCTCAACTTTAATGATATTTTATAAATTGCTAATTTGAATAAAATATAATTAAAGAAAAAATAGTTGTTCTGATAAATCAAACCCAATTACACATGTAATAGGTTTCACAGAGAGGACAAAAATTCACCCTATAAATATGGTGGGTTTAGGCTTTGTGAGAGTTGGGATTTGAGCTTAGGTCTCCGTATCCACAAC